TGCTGGACCGCGCGCTCCGCGTCGAGCGCACGCCGGCGACGGTGGCCGCGGGCGCCGTGGCGTCGGACGTCGTGGAGACGCTCGACGGGGTGTTGGCGGAGCAGCTCCCGTTCTCGCCGACGCCCGCGGAGGCCGCGGTGCTCGAGCGGTGCGGCGTCCGCGTCTCCTACGACGACGAGGCGACGTATGGCGCCATGTCCGACGAGGCCTACCGCGAGGCGCGCATGGTCGAGCTCAGCGATAGGATGGAGCGCGGCGGGACTGTCCGACGACGAGGCGACGGAGCTCGCGGCGCTCCGGGACGCGTGGGTCGCGGACGCGCGCGCCGCGCGGGACCGCGGCGAGCTCGACGGCGACGAGCTGCGCCAGCTCGCGGCCATGGAGGCGGCCGCGGACGAGGCGCGCCACGCGCCGGCGCCGGCCGACGAGGACGCGAGGCGCGCCGCGCGCGTCGACGCGCTCCTGGCGACGAAGCACGCGTCGCGCCTCGCGGCGAAGGAGCGCGTCGAGCTCCGGCGGCTGGTGGCCGCGGAGATTGAAAAACTGGAGCGCGACGAGGCGGACTTTGGTCTGTCGGCGGCGGGCGCGGGCCGCCTCGGCCGGCTCCGCGAGGAGCAGGAGAAGGACGCCGTCGACAAGGCCAAGGCGCGCGCGGCGCGGCGGCGGAGCGAGGAGGCGTGGTGAGGGTTTTTAAAAGGTGTGGCGCTTGACGTGTCTTCAGTGTCTTCAGACGCGTCGTCGAGAGGTTTGCGACGTCACTTCACCATGTATCTCAGTGGTTGATCCACAGCGGGTCCAAAAAATTCTTCCTTGCAAAACATTGGGCTCTTGGTACAGTGCGTCTGCTCTCAGGCTCTGCAGCCTGCTGCATCCAGACGTCAATAGACGCGCACAGGACCTGCTAGTAGGCGGACTGATTTGCCAAGCCACACACAAATCAGCAAAAGACGAAAAAAAGCGGCCGCGACCGCGCACATATCACTCCTTTCAGCTGCAGCGCTGCGCGGCGATGGCCCTGCTCCTGCCGCCCCCCGGCGGCGGGCCGACGGCGGCCGAAGACGGCCACGCGGTCATGGCGCTGAGGAAGAACGCGGGCGACGTGGCGCGCGGCGCCCGGTCCAACAACTACGCGGCGCTCGCGAAGAAGAAGGACGACGACGCGGCGCCGCCGCCGCCGCTCCCGCGGTCGCCGGAGCAGAGCTCGAGCCGCAAGGGCCTCCAGGGCACGCCGCCGCGCCGGAGGCCCGGCGACGCCGCCGCGACGCCGTCGCCCGCCCGCCGGTCCGCGCCGAGCTCCGCGACGAGCAGCAGCGCGGCGTCGCGGTCCGAGCCCCTGCAACAGAGCGACACGGGGGGCCGCGCGCGCATGCTGAGCCACCTCGGCCCGCCCCAGCCCATCGACCTGTCGCTCAACGCCGCGCGGCTGCCCCGGTGGCGGTCGCT